TAGCTTTTTTATTGTCTCTTTTGAATGGTGGGTAAATGTGGCTTATCTCTGTGGTCTATTGATGGCTGAAGCTTGGTTGTTTGCTTGCAGATGGTACCGGACTAGGTAACATCAGTGCTAGCGAGTGTGGAGTTTGCTCCCTGCTTATATGCAGTAGCTTGCCCTGCCAGTTTTGGTGGGGGTGTGGTTTTCTCCTTGATAGATCCTTGATTAATGTATTAAAAGCAAACAATCAAGCTCAGAGAGCACCAAGGACTCCACCGTTCAACCCTAAGCTACATGTATTCTCTTCTATTGCTTACCTTTGTTTTCGCTGGCCATGGCTTGGTAAACAAGGTTTTCCACTGCCCTGACTGGTGATAAATAAGTTGGTCATTATGTTCTTGCAAAGTAAGCCAACCTGATCCCTAACTTGATGATTCAGAAATTGGTCACACTGAACCAATTTCTTCATTCTGATTACATGTCCTGGAAGACTGCAGCCTAAATTGCATACAATGCTGAGCTATTGTAAGACAATACCTGTTTTCTCATAACACTTACATCAGCAAAACTATCTAAAAAACATCCCACGTAAGAATGTCAGTGGTAGGAAAGCAAATAGTTTTGTGAAAAGATCCGAAACATCAAAGATTTGACTAGAACAGGAAATGGAACGTTTCTAAAATTGGCAAGTTTGCTTACCATAAGTTAATCAAAAAGAGAGAGGATGAGGTTAAATGTGCTGAGAATACATTCCAAAGTGAAGTATCCTGGCCTGAGTCTTGTTTTCAAACACAATAGCACATGACTGGGAATATGATATCTTGGCTCCTTTCCCTCACTGCTAAACTTTTGCTGGAAGCTAAACAGTAATTGGCAGGGATGTTTCACTTGGTGATGTGGCTCAGGAACGGTCTCTATATATGTACATTCACTGATCTGGGTGAGAATTTTTGCTGTCATAATTGGCTCCTCCATGGATATTGGTAGGTCTGGTTTTATTATTCATGTATTCCATCTTATTCAAGTTATGTGATTGCCCAGTTGCAAGTGACCCTGGGTGGCTAACAACTTTAAAAACAGTAAAGAAATACATATAAAAGTCCTGGGAAAAACAAAAAAGCACATACACACACACACATGCACAAACACATACCTGCACACAGTGTGGAGGTCAAAATTAGCTTTGCTATATCAACACATTGATGGCTGACACAATTTCCTGGCCCAGTGTCTGAAGGAAGAGGTAGGTCTTAATGGCCTTTTTAAAGGCCAGCAGGATCAGGGCTATCCACATATTGGGGGGATGCTGATCCACAGGCCAGGCACTGGGGTCTGTGAATATAATCCATAAAATATGTATTATGGCAAACTTATGCCCTCTATGTTCAGATTGGATGTGTTGGAATCCCATACTGATTGGGAATTCTAGATACTGCAGTGTGAACACATCTGGAGTCCAGATTGGGGAAACCTGGATAATGAAGTCTTTTTAAAATTAATTAATATGGAAGATCAAAGCAGATTAGAGACTCCCATTGGCCTACAAATGAAATCAATCAATAGTGTCAACATAAGATACTAAGCATGTTATTGTGGGATTTTTTTCTAAGAAGAACCACATAAATGCAATTGAGCAATATTGCTAAAGCTGTTGTGTTCTGCTGCCAACAAATTAGAGGATTTCCAGTTACAGTATGTATGTGATCCCTATTAGCAGTCCTGAAAATTTCACTTACTTCTCTGGAAGATATGAAAAAAAAATCAGTAAGACTATCTGAAATGAATAGAGGCTATTTTTCAAATTAGGTGAACCAAGAGATTCATAGATGCATTATAAAATGTGATATATCACATGGTAGACCAGTATATTGACCAAGCAAATTAAGTCCACTGTAATAATGTTGAACAGCATTTATTGTCAATTTCTCCTAAATCCCTATTCCTAGATGTTCCTCTGCCTTGTACAAATTGCATTTGTTCTAGCAAAACTTGTGCTGGCAAGACTCAAGCTACCAACAATAGCTTTGCAGAACAAACTTTCAGGCTTCAGGCAATTCACAGTCAGCTGATTGCTAATCATAGCCAATTTTGTTGATATAACCAGAACAGTCAGCGCAATATAGACTTGCATGTTAGGATTCTGCTGTAGTTTTAAGATTCCAGCAACTTCACTCTAGGAGAAATAAATGTTCCTCTTTGTTTCTTGGCTGCAGTAGAACTAGACTACTAAGTCCATTTCCTTTATACACTTCCTTGATACACTAAAGGACAGTGTACCTTGAAAGTTGAGTGGGTCAGAGAAAACAATGGACAAATATTCTGATCTCTATTAGCCCTAACCTTCACATAAAGAGAGGAAAGACTGAATAATAAATAGTAGTCAAAGCAAATATGCCCCTAATGGGAAATCTATTATTAAGCTGTTGAATATACAAGAGTGAGAGAATAATCCACTGTCCTTTCCCTTATTCATACTGCAATATGTATAAATATACATACTGAGAAAACAAAGATGTCATGAGATACATAACAAATGCATGGTCACCAGTTTCTAATTTCTTTTGTCTTGCTCTGTGCTGTTTTTCTAGCTATTACTCATATATTTTATAAACAGTCACTCACAAATCCTGGGAATCATCTAAAGATGATTACTATTTACTATTTTTTCTGTATGTATGACTATAACTGTTTCAGGAGGGTAAGTGGGGAAATTTCTGTTGTTATGCTTGGCACTGCTTGTACTATACTGTATTATCTCCTGTTGATTTCAGTTATTTCAATTATTGTATTTCAATAATCTCATAATTTTGACCTTGTGAGCTATTGTGTGTAGGTGGTTGGAAAAATGGATGAAAAAAATGATCAAATTAAAATCAGAATTAACTTATCACAGATTGAAAAACTGAACATATTTTGCAGAAGAACAAGCTACAAGTTCTCATAATTTCAAGTGCAATAATTTCTTTTTAAGTTTATGAGATCTCACCAATTAAGAACATGAAATCAGAGGAATATCTTCAAAGGAGAATCAGGTAATAGTTACGGCTTTAAACTAGGACTAGGAAGACACAGGTTTTACTTTCACTGGGTTACTGGTCTAATCATTCTCTCAGTCCAGGAATGTTGGGAGGAAAAATACAGTATGCAGGAAAGAGTGCCAAGGAAGCCAACTTTTGCTCATGAAGGAAAGGCAGGGTATAAATCTAAACACACACATAGCTTTTATATCAAACACAACAAGCTATTCTCTATGTCTTAAAAGAATATTAGAAAGAGGATTTGGGCTTTCAGCTTGATGAGGCAGCTTGGAATTCTGTATAAAATAGTGATGTAGCAGAAGAGGCAATTAGGGACTCTTATGGAACCTCAAAGATTAACAGATTAATCATTGAGAAGTTGAGCCAATTTTGTGAGATGCAGACAGTGTTGAGCTCAGGTGTCAAATGATACTGATAAAAGCACTTCTATGGATAAGAATAATTGTAAAAAAACATGGGCAACAATGTTCTTTTATTCTAAATCTATTTTTTTTAAAAAGGGGCTACAAATATTAAACTAAACAAATAGATCTGTTATATTCTTATACAGGGTCCAAATGTACATAAAATAGGAACAAAATGAATCATTCAGAAACCTTCCATGGGATAAGATAGTTGTTCTAGATATGCTTACATGATTCCCCAGTATGATCCAGAGATCTAACCAAGTCCAAATTGAATAGAAGCAGTAAATTTTAGTTAAGTACTATAATCTCGCACTGGAATCTCTCTTTAAACTTTGTTTGTCAAGGTACCAGAAACATCTTTGCTATATAGGCACAACAATCCATTCTTTATATTTTTTGGAAAAACAAATCTGGGGAGCTTTAAGATGTATGAGTTATTTGTGAGCTGAGCTAACTGAAGGTAAAATCAACTTTTAAATGTTTGGTATGCATATTATATATGAAAAACAAAACAAGAAAACCATTTTAATCTGTGCACATCTGGGCCAGGCAATGCAAAATTCCCAACAGTGTGGACACACCGCTTGGAAAAACTGCATTCTCGTTTCGATCAAGTCTAAATGGAGGGATAAACCCACCATCTTATAGGTCACAAGACTGGACACAGTGTATGATTTGATGGCGGGAAAAACAGCAGATAATTCAGCTGACTTGATGCTAGACCTGAGGACTGAACTTTCACATGTAAAGGTTGTCTGAGAAAAGGAGGTACTCAATTCATTCAAAAAGACCCTTGTTTTGTTCTTGTTTCTTCTTTAAAAAATGATCAACTTGATATTTTTAGTTAGAGGAATAAATCTTTTTTTTTTTTAAGGGGAGGGGGACAATGCCTTCTCTATTGTGATAATCAGAATGGACATTTCTTTCACTTTGCAACATCATATTTTTCCCAGGGCATAGTGCAAAAGCAAATAGATGGGGTACTTTGGAGGGCCACTAGCTGCTTTTCTGATGTTTCTGTACAAAAGCAAGGTATTCTTGAACATCCTCTGGAGAACCGACAACGAAAGGGGCTCTCTGATGAATAGACTCTGGCTTTACATCCAGCACCGCCTCTGTGCCTGTAGTAGCTATTCCTCCAGCCTGTTCAATGATGAAAGCTATGGGGTTGCACTCATACAAGAGCCGCAGCTAGAATGTAAACGAAAAACCATTATTCTCAGTTTAATTTCTTTGTTGAAACTATTTAAGAAGCAGTTTAAGAGTTTATATCTGATTACAATAGTTTTGCAAATTATAAACCCTCATTCATAGATTATCTGTCATTTTTAAATTCCTTGCCTTTGCTGTTTTTTAAACCGCAACAATAATAAAGGTAGTCCAGTCCAAATTAATCTTTCCAGTTCATTTCAATAGGAACACAAATTACATTTTTCTCCAGCAATGAGCAAGCATGATCAAGAAGAACAATAGTTTTATAGGAGTTACACATGCAGAAAGTCCCAGATTCAACCCTACTATTCCCTGGTTTAGATTCTCCCTAAGATTTTGAAGAGTACTGCTACCCCCCAGACAAGATAATATTGAGCTAGATAAACATAGAGGTTGAAACCACACTTCATTCTAAGCCACAATGTGGTCTTCTTACGGTTTTGGTTTAGCATGATATGTCAACCACACATTATTGCTTAGCATTACAGGAGGACCAGGCCACTTCTGGACTAGTTGACCTGTAACCTTTTCAGTTCTATTCCCAGTCAGTATAGAGAGAATTTTGCAAGTTGAATTTTACATCACCCTAAGCCAAAATGTAGTTTAAAAAAAAATGAATCTGGACATATCTTAGTTTATTAAAAACAGTTTATAGTTTCCAACAACAAGAATCTACTCAACTGTGGCTTAGTCAACAAACTATGTTTAATAAATTATGGCTAGCATATGTTAAGACTCACCCTGCCTGTTTCTTGTTCCATTGGATTGTTTTCCATACAGAATACCTTCCAATATGTTCCTAAAACATCTATGTTCATAGTAAGACCGATATTTCTTAAATCTCCCTGGTTTGCCCCTGAAAGGCTTTATGTCTTTTGGAATGAGAGCAAGGGGAAGAAGGCATTTTCCCATTGTTTCCTCATACGCTTTGTGATACTTTCTGAAGCATGAATGGCAACATGGGAGACAAACATTAATTTGGAAACTGAGATATACAGTACAGTGTGCATTTCACAGCACATTGTTCTGACAGGTAAGTTGTTCTCTGCAGGTTCAACCATTGTGTATTTTTTTTTTTTAATCTAAGTGGATTTTTTCACTAGGTTGCTTTCTGAAAGATTTGTAAATGTTGCACAACACTTATTGATCAAAAATGTTCCAGGACTAACTAATAAAACTTAGTAATGAACATGTTAGGAAACAATTTATTTTTTCTGCTGTTTAAAATCAACTTATGCTCTCTCCAGAGAATTTTAAATTATTATCACCTTCTAACTAAAAATGAGAAATCCTGAATTCATAAGGAACTTGTCAAGGTTTAGAAAACTGCAGTAGCAGAGTCAAAGACCCATTGAAGCCACTAGCCAAGTGCTATCATTTAAACAATGAAGTTATATCATTTTCATAATAGTCTCTGCTGGTCGTTCTGTTTCTTATGGATTAGATATGGTTTGTGATTAATTTTCTAATAACTGTGCAAATTAATCCTAAACACATTTACTCACAGATACAGCATATTGTAATACATTGGGATTATTCCCTAATAATAAGAGTCACTGGGAGTTGGGTGGCATATAAATATAATAATAATAATAATAATAATAATAATAATAATAATAATAATAATAATAAAAAAATATATGCAAGTTTTGCTTATATACTTATTTCTGATTTTCACTGCAAGAAACCTCAACTCATTCATTGGATTGCTTAAGGATTTGTCTGGAGCTTGACTGCTTACCAAATGTTAAGTTTTGAAGATGCATTGCCTTAATGCATGTGACAACCTTGTTCTAAAAAAGGACTCAGGAATCTTTAAGATTTTCATGTATGTGGGAATTGGGCTACTCCTAAATCCTGATTTTCCAAGGAACGAAAATGCACATCTTTTTCATTAAAAATGTACTTTCTTATAATAAGTCAATTAAAAGGAAAAGCATACCTTTCCTTTGGGGCTCTTCTGGTTAGCTGGATATAAAAATATCCCACCATACACCAGGGTACGGTGAACATCAGCCACCATGGACCCCACGTATCTGGCTCCATAGGGAGCTGTGCCTTCCTGTAAAGCAGAAATACAGATTATGTTGGAGGGGATTGTTCACGCCCATTATCCAGTGCAAACCTGAAACTAATCTGAGGCATAGTTCAGAGGGAAGAAAAATAATGAAATACCTAGTCTGTAATTCCAGCAATACATATCCATGGAATTCTGCCCCCCACCCCCCGCCCAATGACCTCTATATCCATCCTTTTTTGGCTGATAGAAACCCAAAGGTGACATAAATAGTGACAAAATACCATGCCTTAACATCTTTGGCCCATTGCAATACTGTACCCCTGGCAAGGCAGACTAAAATGTTTTTAAGGACCAAGGAAGGATTCAACGACTGCATTCATCCAGCCTGCAGACTTATTTAAGTTAGAATGAGAAGGAGAGTGGACAAGAGAACGAATGGGGAAGTGCCAGCCTATTGCCATTCCGAATTTCCACTGCGACTTCCTTTTCTCATTTGTCATATCCCAAGCCACGTTCACTGCTCTAAGTCAACAATACATAGACTTCCCTTTCAGATGACAAAGGGAATAGATACTTCCTGATGGTTTGGAACAATTCATTTTTCCTCTCCTGAAATAGCTGCTGATATAAGTGCTGCTGTTATAACTTGTTGGCTTCTGCCTGGACACTTGGAAGAGTACAATTCTATCACCTGATATTTCCTAAATGCTCTCCAACAAAAGTCACATTTTATGGGATGGAACCTGAGTTCTGCGTAAGCTTATTGATTCCATTCCACTATGCTCATTTTTAAAGTGAAACTTCTCATCATGCAGACATTTCTGAGCGTTTATATTAATTTTCCTTTATGCTTTGTAGTCTTGCACCTGTATTCAAGGAAGTACCCACCACATCGCTCAAAACAAATGATTCTACAATGAGCAGGTATATTTCATTTCCTTTTCCATCTTCACAACCCACAAACATTTTAACCTCCTCCCCCCAAAGAATTATATAGCAACAATCAATCTCATATAACACAATATCACTCAAGCCACCTGATGAAAGTGGCCTTAGATGCTTGGGATTGGAATGAGGGTCTACGAGGACTTCTGAGAAAAAACTCAACTCCTTCTGCAATTTCACATAGGGCATGTTAGGGCATGCAGATTGTTCCAGCAGCTAGAATAAAAGAGATACCTATTCTTTTCAAAGGGATGCTTTGAAAATCAATTAGTCAGCTTTCAAGCTATTCTTTTAAAACAGCTTGATAGCTTTGGCTTCAGACCAGCTGCTTAAGCGTCTTTTTCCTCGAAGCAATTTCACGCAGGAAGGATGTAGCAAGCAATCCATGGGGCAACTCGCACGGGGCAAACCTTTCAAAAGCTCCAACCCGCAAATATCTAGGGGAAGAGCTTAATTGCAGCTCTTACAAAAACTTTGTACCTGATCAATTTCAGTTGGCAGCGCTGCTTAAATACAGTGAAGGTAAAGATTGCAGAGCAAATTAGATTGTAATCTCATTTCCTACTGTTCTTTCTACAATCATATTTACAACACAGTGATGGGGGAAAGCTGCCTAGGTGCTTTTATCCAGTGCACAGAAAGTTATGTGGGGAAGTAACACTGCAATGCTGTTGGCTAATCCCATACAGGGCAAGTGCAGTGGTTTTAGTGGGTTTCTACATCTGGTAGATTACAAGCCTTAGGAACTCCTACTATGCTCATTGTTTTCTACCCTAGATAGCTAATCACCTGATCAGAGAAGAAAAAACACTGAGCATATTCTTACACAAAGTCAGCCTTCCCTGATCTGGTCCTCTGTGGATTCTAGCCTCAACATTCTCACCAATGGCTGTGCTGGCTGGAATTTTGGGTGCTGAAGTCCCCACATCCGGAGGATGCGAAGGCTGAGAAAGAACAAACTAACTAAGTCTGATGCCAGCCATAGGCCATTTAACTCTCTCTCCAATAAATCCAACCACCCAAACCACAGCCCAGCGCAATACATTGTTTAATCACCACTATGATTAGGATCTCAGCCATCTTTGCAGCAGCTGTCTACCTAAGATTTCCAGATTTGTTTGTTCGGTTTTGTACAAAACGTATTTGTACAATTGTGTAAAAAAAAGGAAGAAAACCAGATGACTCAGTCTAAATTGGAGTCACTGTGGAAAAGGTATGATAAGGTTAAGTGCCTCTCTGTTTCTGTTTCCCTATTGTCCCAGTTTTAGTCCCATATATGCGTTTTTGAGATTGTGAAATAATGCCATCTTGACCTACAATAAGTTGAATAAAGTCCCACCTGGAATTCCTACACATGAACCGCACTAGCCGTACAGGTGGTTATGAAACAGGTACAAACAAAGGTGAAGTATTCTTTTGTCATTGAAATCCAGATACTATATAATGTGGTCAAGTCATTTCCTAGTTCTTGTTTTTTCTGATTCTTTTGTGATAAATTTCACAAATGGTATCATTGCAAAAGTCAGGTTTATTGGTCAAGTTCTGAATTAGACAAATATGCCTGGGCAACTAAAGCCACAGGGAAAATACTTTTTCTGAAGGTCATTTTGTTTTTTGGCGGGGGGGCGGGTTCAGCTGAAAATTGAATCATGAGATGAATTGCTGCAAAAACTATTTCTGAGAGAGCACAATCCACTAAAGTCACTTTGGAAAGGTACTTTATAAGAAAGAAGGAAGGAAGGGAGAAAATCTTAAAAGCACAATTACAGGAGCACAGCTCAGAATCAAAATAATCCAAAGTTTGCAATATTATATCCTATTCATGGGTTTGGAATAGGATATATCAAAGGATAGATTCATATATAAGGTAAATAAACCCATCTAAATAAGATTAACTTCATGCTCTTTCTCCAATGCAGGTCAGAACAAGCTCATGTCCCAAGGCACATGCAGTCCTTAAGCTCCCTTTTTTCCCCTTGTTTTTATGGCCTTAGTAGGCTTCCCTAACCACTTAGTAAAAATAGTTTCTGTTATTTTGAAATGAGAAACATGTACCTATTGGGTAAGCCATAAAATAGGATTAAATTCATTTATAAAAAAATGTCTTCCAAACTCAAGAAAAAGACAGACATCTGTCATTCTTGGTTTGAGTGACCCAGTTTGGGTCTACTGTACCCCTTCTTCCCAAATATTAGCTGTAGCCCCAACTGGGTTTTAGTGCTTATGAGGGAAAGAGAGCAAGAGTGTCTTTCTCCTTCCAGTTTTAAATTAATCGAATTTCTCTGTTACACTTGCTTTGGCTACAGTTCTCTGGATTCAGATACAAGCAGGGAGCTCCAGCTAGTTTAAATTAAAAGCAGAAACTTTTGATCTCCTCCTCTGTCATATGAAAAAAGGAGGAGGAGAAGACATGCAGGGCCAAGTCTGTTCACAGGCATTACGAACAGTTTAGCCCTGCATTCAGATTGGTCCTAAAGCTGTTGTCCTATGTTCACTTCAATGCCAGTATCACCCATTGAGTGTGATCAAGGTCTGGTTAGTGCTTTTGACAGAGCCACTGCACCAGAATTAGATGCTGCCAATGGGGCTAAAGAGCTGCACGAAACAGAGTACAATGTTATTGATGGATTTAGAACTGGATTGGATAAACTAGCAATCTTAGAAAAGAACTGTGTTCATTCTATTCAGTACAACATTGAACATATTATAAGAGTCTTTGACATGCAATACTACCACATTAAGTAATTTTGCAGGCAGAATCAGGTTAGGCCAATATTTTATTCAAAGTTTTCCAAACAAAATAAAATGCAAAGGGCAGGAAGTTACTATTTCAGTCTTGAAACAGTGGCCTACTGCAGAGCTAGCAGGAAGCTAGCTGCTGGGAATCCTCAGTTATTATTCATGGGACATAAATAAGATGTCCCTGTATTATTTGCTAGAGCATCTAGGATCTTTTTGAGACTTGGCACACACAAAAAAACGCTGTTTAGGAAAAAAAAGAACTGTACTTATTTCCTTCAGTAAAATGCATTTTGGACTACAACTGTTTCAAGGTTCCTACATAATTCCAAGTTGAGTAATTGCATTTATCTATAAATAATATCAAGATTAGAACGCTATATGGAAGATTGCTGAGAACAATCTAGGACAGTCTGAGACTGCCAAATCCAGATGGCCATAGATGGAAGGAAGAGATACAGAAAACATTAGCTCTCTGTTTCTATCTAGTGGACATACAGTGTTTTGTAGCCCAGAAAAAATGAAGATGAATATTAATGGAATTTTCTAAAACAGTTTCTAAAGTAGCTGAAGCTAAAAGGCAATGGCGTTATTTGAAAGGAAACTAAATTGAGACAATACTGGAAAAAGTATTCTGGAAATATGTATGGGTATAGTAGTGATATGTTTAAGAGTGAAACTGAAGCAAATGTTATAACTAATGAAAACATTAGTAAAAAGGAAACAATAAATTCTGTGAAAATGCTGAAAAATAGTGAGGCTATAGATAACTGGCGAAATGTTAAAATACTGATGTGGTTTGTTTATGGAATGGTTATGCAAGTTGTTTGATGTGTGTGAGAAGATTGCACCTGCCTGATAATTGGTAGCAACAGTGAGTGCAAAAATGATGGGTATTATTTTCCTGTGTGCCTGAAAAGTTGTTTGGAAAATTCTGTTTGAAAGAGTACAAGAGGTGACAAGGAGCAATACAAAGGTGGAGGGTACAGTGTGGCTTTAGCCCAAGCAGGGGATATTCAGAGCAGACGTTCGTTCTTCAGCATGTGATTCAAAAATGTTTGACCCTGAGAAAGAACATTAGTAGAAGGCTGATTTGGAGAAAGTGTGTAGGCCTGCATTATGGAATGACTGTGCAAGTATGGAATTGAAGAGTATACCATGGAAGTAAAGCATGCATGAGAAGAAATAGACTGCTTAGCAAACAGTTCAGCGTTGAGCAGAGAATAAAACAAGGTGATGGTTGTTAAATATACTTTTGGGAAAATGTATAAGGAATGTTTGTGGAGAGGCTAGACATGTGTTGGGTAAGGAAGTGGATGGGTATGTGCTTTGACATGCAGGTGGTACTTGTGGTTAGCTGAGAATCCAGATGATTTGCAATGAATGTCAGATAGACATCTGATGTAGTAAGGAGTATGGATCTGAAAATTAACGGAGCAAAGACCAGAATGGGATTGACAAGGGAAAGGACCTGAACAACTACAAGTTATAAATAGTGAGAACTCAGGTCAAGTGAATACATACTCCTTGATAAAATATTCATAAAAAGATAGGAAAAAAGCCTGGTAGAAATGACTTTTTTCCATCCTAGTGTTTTTCCCGTATGTGCAGGATCCTTTTTTTTTTTTTGATCAACTGAATGTTTATCCATTGATTGCGACAGGAATTGACTGATTGGCTTGTTGCCTGAGTCTGATGTCAGGGGCTGAGAGAGAGTGACTGGCCCAAAGTCACCCAGCCGGCTTTCATGCCTAAGGCAGGACTAGAACTCATGGTTTCCTGCTTTCTAGCCTGGACCTTTAACCACTAAACCAAACTGGCTCTTATTTGATCTGGTAGAAATGAATGTTTGACCAAAAACAAACAAACAAACATAAAAATGCTTCATATACCAGTGTGTTTCTACCACTTTCTTATATAGAGCTAAGAAAGTTATGGCTTGATAGAACAGATAAGCTCCTGAAAAAGAGAGAAGTTTAAAGAACAAAGTGTTATGTATGAATCAATGTATGGATATGGTAGAAGCAAAGTTGGCTTCTTGGCATAGAAAAATATAGAGAGGTATAGTGAATAATGTTGGTGTAAACTAGTTTTAGGAGAGCCAGTTTGGTGTAGTGGTTAAGGCACTGGGCTAGAGACCAGGAGGTCATGAATTCTAGTCCTGTCTTAGGCACAACGCCAGCTGGGTGACCTTGGCCAGTCACTCTCTCTCAGCCTTAGGAAGGATGCAATGGCAAACCACTTTTGAAATCTTGCCAAGAAAATTGCAGGGATCTATCCAGGCACTTGCCAGGAGTCAAGACGGCTGGGTGACTTTGAAGGCATGAGAAGAAAAAAACTAGTTTTAGCAAAGCCTTATTTTCTTTTCTTTTCTCATATCTTTAATATCTTTGGCTCACTACTCCTTATTCCTGGCTCATTTTCTGTGCTGTATATAATTTCTTACTCCAGAAAGGAATAGCATGATGGATAAGCATGTATTTATGTATGTAGGGAATTTATCTTTGCCAACCCTGGGCTCCCAAGATGCTTTCTACCACTTCAACCATATCCTCTTTTCATTTTTGAAGAATATCGGTGATGCTGTGTAAGCTCAGAAGCCATCCTGGACATAAATATGTAGGGTGATACTTTGCTTGATAGCAGGTTGGATTCCTTTAAAAAAATAATAAAATATTTTCTAAAAAATTAAAAAATGCTTATGAACCCAGTCTTTAGATGTTCTCAAGCAAGTAAATCCCACTGACCTGAAAAATGGATGTCTGTGTAAGATTGCAACTATACTATCAATAAGTCAATGTATTATGGCAGTTTGTATTATGGAATTTACCCACTGCCCAATACTAAAACTTTTTCTATCACTTTTTGGTTGTTGTTGCTATATATTTCACAACTCTATAGTGGATACACTTTGGGGGTAGCCTTCTTATATTGTGTTCTTGAGCTAACACAACATTTTTAAAATAGACATGTATCTTCTTGCTAGCATAAGTTGCCTTCTAATAAATGGAGACTCACTTAGATTTAGGTCCTCCAGTGCTTTTGGACAACATGTTTTCTCCTTGAATGCATGAATGCAACTGTAATCAAAATTCTCTGTGGGAAATATGAAGCTAAACTGTATTAAATATGTATACACCAAGTGCTACTACTTGTGATTAATGGCAGCCAAATGGTAAATTACCTCAGGAAATTTCTTCTTTTGTAAATACTCAGTCACAGCTGGATCAAAGTACTTTGCGTAACCTTCATTAAGACTATAGATTTTTCCTTTCTTCTTGATTTTCACATCTTTTTCCACCAAAATGAACTCACCAAGAGCCTACACAACAGTTAAAATAAATAAATTATGCTGTTAAGGAGCTTGTGAATTAAGATATTAATTCACATGTTATCTTAATGAATTATTACTGTAAATATTTCCCATTCCTCCAAGGCTGCTGCTTAAGACTCAATTTAATCCACTTACAAAGGAATAATAATGATTAAACTTAGCGATGACCACTTCTAAGAAATCTCTGCACTCTTAATTGTCTTTGCATACAGTAATAAGAATCCTGGAATTTTGTGAACCATGATAGATGTCAGATCTGCACTATCTACTTTGTTTTGTAGTAGAAGACCCTGTGGTCCACCGGCTGGAGCTCAGGATGCAAAATAGTAGGATGCACCACTAAACTAAGAATTAAGGACAGGATATCCATGGGCACATTCATTCAAAAACCCACTCTTCAGGTTTTCTTCCTCCAAGCATTATATTCCAATCAAGTAATAATTCCAATCAAGTAATAATAAATTTCAGTATAAGTTTCAATACATTGGAATAATAATATTCCAATCAAGTAATAATTGGGAGGAGAGGCTTTTGAAGTGTTGATACTTCTGGGATTCAGAAACGTTTGCCAATCTTCTGCAGGCCTTCCAGAAGCTGACCAATAGATCTCAGTCTATGATCCTCATAACATTCAAATGGTTATATCCGAGTAAACAGCACTTGTGCAGCATGTACCAGATACTACACACAATTGCTGCCCTTATCACCTCTTATCACCAATCATTCTGGACAGTTTGCAACACTGCCATGTATCCAGTATCTGGAAGGATGCCATGACAACTGTAGAAGAAATGTTTGTAGAACATGCAGTAAAGAAATATATGAAATACCTTTTTAGCTTTTCTGTGAATTATATTTATCACTCTGTGGGCATATATTGTGGTCATCTTTTTACATATTCTCATATATTAATTATTATTTTTCAAAGGTCTGCAATGTGTTTCCCTAAAAGTTGGGCTGCATGTGGTCCCTTCCAAGCTTTAAGTGTAGCCCAGGGTCTTTACCAAAATTTATACTGAATTTGTGCTTTAATGTAACCAAAGGGGAAATAATAAAATACATAATCAGGTTGATATTAATTAAATGTAAATTTTAAACCAAATTTAGTTCTTGTCCTGATCCTGCCCACTTTTTCATTCTAGTTTGGTCCTCCTTGACTCCCAACACACCATCTAAAGATTGAGTGCATTCTTTGGTCTAAAGAATCTCTGAAATGTACAAAAGAGAATTTATCATAACCTGCTGTGCCTTACCATAGTGGTTTTAGTGACTTCTTTCTGAAGAAGAAGCAGGCAATAATTACTTCTGTATGATAATAAATGGGGATACTGTTGACACAATTTAGAGCATGATTTTGGGAGAAAAACATTAATATTTACTCAACAGCTACACCTTGATGAATGATCTAGAGTCTTTTACCAGTATGAGAGCGAGAGCGAGAGGGAGATAGAGAGACTATTCTACAATCTACACTACAAATGAAAGTGACTAAAGCAGTACAGACTCAACTAAAATTTCAGGGTAGTCAGTAAAGCTTTTTATACGATCAGTTAAACTGATGCGTTTCCAGTCTAGCATCAGTAGGAAGCACTATGCTAGACTCTGAAAAGGGAGATGGTTTTCATGTGCAATATGAAACAGCAACAGAAGCAGAACTAGTACTTAGTACTTGTATCATACCGGATCCAACATAAACAAGTCCACTCCTTGCCCGGTTGAAAGAGCGACTAGCGTTGCACTGCCATACAGAGCATAACCTGCTGCGACAATGTTGCGTCCAGCTTGTAAGGCATCCTTTTCAGAAGGCTCATCTTCAGATGTCTATCAGAAAAAAGACTGCAGTATAAGTATTATCCAGATCTTTTGTTGTGATAAAATTTGAATTTGAGGAAAACAAAGAAATTAAAAAGGTATAGATAGGAATTTCTGTTAATCATGGAACTACAGCTTTCTTTCCCATGCATGCTATTTTGATGTGTGTCTGATATACTGAGATTGAAGAGCTTTTTGTAAGAGAATCTTAAATAAAATTGATCTACAAATACTGCCAAGTACAAATTAGAGCCATTAACAGTAAAGATCTACCAACTGCAAGTCAAGCTGTAAACTGAAGTAACTTGCCCGTGTTAATAATAATAGCGGGATTCATCAAATGAACCACTGAGTACTTTAACATTGTCCCTTTATTTGTTTTAAATTTTATTGTGAGACCCAATGCCTGTGTTAAATGTATTTGCAAATGGCTAATAATTATTATTAGGTTGTAATAGCTAGTCATCAATGGAAAATGTCATTTGAAATGGATCTTTTTAGGTCAAAGGTGCACACTCTGTGAGTTCAAATCTTATGCAGTTTCCCCAGATGTAGGATTGGCCCTCAGAGACTTCAAATATTACTGCAGATGAATCGTTTTAATGTGACAGAAGGATGTGACTACAGGGTAATCATATGAGCTATATTTAATTTTAATCACCTTTAAATATAAATGAAATGAAATGAATTATAATTTCTATCCCAGTGTCATTCGCTGTATTTTCAAAGGCAGTTCCCTGGACTCCACTCAGAGGCAAAATAACAGTCATAAGTCCCCGGGGATGCACTGGAGTTCTCCCTAGCAACTTAAGATTAGTTTTATAATAAAGTGTAGATAACAATATGCACAAATTACAAGGAACCACATTCATTCTGGAACAATTTCCTATTCCAAGTCTGGAGAACACAACCACAAAAGGTTAAAGAGTATGTGATACAGGCTGGTTATAGGATTCCAGATAATTAATTCAAAAGGCTTAGCAAATCAGCAAACTTTGCTCTAAATGGATCAGATAACTTTTAGATATGTCCTGATCTTTTAGTAGAAATTCTGGGCTACATCTCTCTGCCAAAGGTTTGGAACATATTCCTATGATCTAAGGTTAAACTATATGATATGTAAAACATTTATCATGTACACTGCCTTCTAGTTTTTATTTTCTCTAATGTATGTATAAGGGGGAAGCAATCTGGATTTACTATACACAGAATGGAGCATCTTAAAGTATTCCATTGTAGAATCTCTTTCTCCATTAGCATTGCTTGTTTCACTACCAAATCTATTATCTATAGCCAGGCTGTACGCTATACTGTAATATCATTTCTTCTGACCCACTCAACAAAGATGCTCGACTGATGGATTGAATATTTGGTGGCAGTCAGAAGACTGAACTACCCATCTAACAACATCCATATACAGATCAATAGAGCCAGATCAAGTCCCAGGGAGGACTACAAAAGAACACCATTGGTTGTCACTTACAGCTCATAGCTCAAGATACTCAAATCTATTATTAATAAACAACAGCCCATACTGGACAATGACACTACACTTTCTCAGGCACTGGGTGTCAGGCCCATATCTGCATACAATCACCCAACCAGAAGCAGATTCTCACAAGCAACAAACAACAACAGGACAATGATGCAAACATGAGAACCAGACCCTGCAACAGACTCTGATGTCTAGTTTACCCCCACATTTATACTCAGAGCACCATCAGAGGCCAAACAACTTTACGCACAAAATTAGAGGTACATTCACATGTTTTTCCCCCCTCTAATGTGATATGTTCCATCATCTGCCAGGAATGCCACTCTAGATCATACATAGAACACACAGGCCAAATTTTGCACAAAAGAATTAATGAACATGAGTTTGACATAAGGACACACAATAAAGACAAAGCAATATCAGAGCTAGTTTGGTGTAGTGGTTAAGGCATCGAGCTAGAAACCAGGAGACCTGGAATTCTAGTCCCGTCTTAGGCATGAAGCCAGCTGAGTGACCTTTACCCAGTCACTCTCTCTCAGCCCTACGAAGCAGGCAATGGCAAACCACTTCTGAAATCTTGCCAAGAAAACTACAGAGACCTGTCCAAGTAGTCTCCAGGAGTCAAGACTAACTCAAAGGCACATGAATATGCAATAATCAGAGTACTTCAACCTCCCAGGACACTCCATTACAGTTCTCAAAACAGACATTTTGGAAAAAAGAAACTTTATTAGCACAATTACAGGTAGTCCTCACTTAACAACCACAATAGAGACTGGAAAATTGGTTGTTAAGTGGTGCAGTCATTAAGTGAGTCTACATGACCAGACCTGATTTTACAACCATTTTTATGATGGTTGTAAAAGAAATCTTGTGGTTGTTAAGTGAATCCAGCTTCCCCAATGGACAGTTTTTTCTGGAATTTGCTTAACAACAATGTGATTCACTTAATGACCACGCGATTTGCTTAATAACCATGGAGATTTGCTTTATGACTATAATAAAAAAGGTAGCAAATCACGATCATGTGATCGCAAGGGGGTGGTGCAATGGTTTGTGACGGTCATAAGTGCAAGTACAGGTCGTAAAGCACTTTTTACAAGGCCATCATAACTGAACCATCGTAAAATTAACCATCGTTAAGCAAGGACTATCTGTAAATGAGAGGCTGCTGAACTCATATACATCAAAAGATTTCAGGCTACCTCAGAAGATCTCAACAAAAATGGGTTTTTAATACAACTATTAATTGATGAGGTACTTGTAATCTCTTTCATATGTAACTTGCATCTATATAACCACCCTATAGATTACAAAAGTAATGCCTTTTGAAGATGCTTTTAAAAGCAAAAAAGCATGGGAGACCCTGACTGCCATTTAAAGTTTGTTTGTCACTTCAGCTGATTTGAGGTCATAGAGTCAATGGTGAGAATACAGTATGTCTTCCATGCAGAAGATAAGAGGTTCAACCACCATACTTCCAGTTCACCTGGTAGTAGGTGGAATGAGAATGTGAAGAAGTACTGTCAGCTGCATCAGATTCTATAGGGCTAGCTGAGCATATATTTGGATCTGATCCAGAGTTGTTCTCTAGGACTGTGGCTTCACCAAAGAGTTCTTCAACCTGGTATCACATGTAACTCCAACACCTTTGATGAGTGCTAACTTGGGAAAAATTTCAGTAAAGCAGATGTTATTTTTAGAAATCTATAAATGACAATGATGTAGTGAGATACTACCACCAGATAGTTGTTCTGCTTTTTTTACTATTCCATTTCTTTTCCTTTCAACAGCTTACCTTCTTGTAAATTGCAAATATTGTTCCTATTGAGGCTAAACAGTCTATATTAGAAGAGCCATCTAGTGGATCAAAGCACACCACATATTTACCCTGAAAGAGGAGAAACAAAAGCAGTCTTAAAGCAGATATTAGCAGGCTCAATATCCATTCACTGTTTAGCAAGAACTCATTTAGAAAGTTATCAATCCTGAGAAATCTGCTTTAGATAGAACATTAGCAGAAAGGTGGGTTTTTACATCAGAGGGTTAATGAAAAATAGACTACAGTACAGCACAATACCAACCCACCCACCACCCACCCCCGCAACACACACACACATATATACACACACTCAAGAAAAGGTTGTGGTAGGGAAGTAAAACAGTTCTTGTCTGGCTGCTTCTGATAAATTGCAAGTCCGCTGAAGTTACCTTTTTTCTGCAGTTCTTTGACTGTCATATCAAATATTATTTCAGGAATTTTGGCAACTTTCTGATCCAGCTTTTCAGGGAAACTGGGAACCGCAATAGGATATCAATGAAATCAGGTGCCTAACTTGCACAAGTGAGATTACATACAATACATTTATTTGTACTGCAATTAGTTCTCTCCACGGTTCATTTTGGAAATTAAATCAGCCCCCCTTAGGTTGAACTAGAATCTCAGGGAAGAGATTTCATATTTTCATTTATATTTATTGAGAATTTCCATATTGTAAAAGACAAACCAAAAGGAAAAAAAAGTGCTAGAAAAGGAAACTAAGGTTAAGAAACATATAAATGACTTCTGACCTTCTTTTCAACCGATAATTACATTTTTATTGTTCCGCCTCCCTCTTAAGTTTTTTTTTCAAATCCCTTCACCTCCTCATTTAATCCTCATTTTTCTTAATCTTCACATCCATAAATCATCAATTCATTTTTTTTCTTTCAGCAAAAAGTCCAAGATTTCATATTTTCAAATCTCCTCCTCCTCCAAGCAAATTGTACACAAAATATACACAAAAATAAATGTTATCTGGAAACACTAAACAGAAAGATTCTTTTTTAACAAAGCAGCTATCAACTGATTTTTCTTCTCTACCAACAGCTGACAGGAGGAAAACTGTAAAAGTAAATTTAAAAAATATATAAAAAGGGGGAAAAGAAAATGCAGCTCTTCCTTCTCTTCCCTAGCTTTTGAAGAGGTTATTCCTTCATCTTAGATCTCCCCCAGATTTTCCTGTCTAACTCAACAGATCTGTTCTCTTTCTTCATATAGTTCGTGTCAGATAGGAAAACTAGCCTGCAGGGTTTTTTTAACCAGCTGTCATTCAACTGATGAAAAACTATTTTATTTTTCTATGTCTTTCAAAGTAAAATAATAGCTCATTGGATTCTCACTGGTGGAATGTTCTTGCCCTTATTTAATCATAAGGTGGCCCAGCATGAGTATCCTGCCTATCATTGTACAATAAATTCCAGAATAAGGCCTCAGGTATTTCCTCATATGCACCTAACTCCAGTACAAATATGCTCCAGCAATCTCTTTTATGTTGTGTCCTTACAATGTCACTTTCATCTGCTCCCCAGCCAATAACAGAGGCAGCCTCCAGCTATCCTTAGCTCTTCTGGCTTTAAAGTAGTGTTTTCCCTCTTATCTTGACACAATTTTGCCATGGATTCAATCTGGCATGTTTCACTGACATGGTCAGGTGACTCCAAGAGGTTGGGATCAGCTCAGGTTATATTGACACGCTAGCTTTGTGTTGTCATAGCCCCTCCCTCTGATGTTTGGGCATCGTATCCATTTTACTCTAGTTTGGCATAAGAGAGCCTGGCTCTTTCAAGCTAGGTTCTCCCTTTGTACTGTCTAGGTCACTGAGCTCAGTGAACTGGATCATTCCCAACAGCTGCTGATTTGCAACGTGCATGGGAAACGCACATTGAAGCAGAAGAGAGAGGGAGGCAGTTATTTCTCTGCTGCTTCAAGGCATAGCGGTCCATGCAACTGTCATTTGCACTGCTTTTGAACGTACATGTAACATTCTCCTGGAATAGCACTCAGTGCATGCTCAGCTTCTTATCCATATGGGTTCAGTGCTCTTCTGGACTAATGCTCTATGCAAGTTCAGTGCCGTTTGAATGTAGGTTTAGTGCACTTCAGGAATGGTAGACAAATATGCCCAAAAGGAGTCCAACTATCAGCTGATAGTCAGGCTCCCTTTGCATGCACCCATGTAAAACACGTGCACAAAGCCACAGCAATTTCTGAGAGATGACTAAACCTGCCAGTCTAGCCATCTGTCAAAATCTGTGTCCTATCCCACCAGCCCCGTCCCACATTAAGGAGAGTGACTGGATACTGTCTCACTAGGTGGTGGTGTTTGGTGGGAGGAGAGGGAAACACAGCTGGGGGAAACCCACCAATCCTTGTCCTGAACATGCCCTCTAGACCATAAATAACAAGAGCACCATTTGCCAGCATTGCAGCAGGATAGAGATTGCCAGCGGGGACATCAAATTTTATGCCAGTATAGTTTTCTGCCTGCTCAAGCACTGGTGGATAGCTCTAACTCAGACATGTGGAAGGATGTGCAGTAAAAACAATAGCAACATCATCATCAGCATACTTTGTCACCTTCAGGAATAAAGTAAGCTCAAAAATATCCCCAAAATAAATTTTCAAATATCCTGAGAATTGTAGAAAAACAAAAACCTCTTTTGAATGGCAACAATACTTTTAACCAATCATGTAAGGCCAATGTCAGCCCAGCGTTATTCTATGCTACCTACCTACCTACCTACCTACCTACCTACCTACCTATTATCTTAATGTATTAGATTTAAAAGGAGGGGACTCCTAAGTGACTCAGGATGGCTTATCTAGTTAAAAAGAGAGAAAAACAATGAAAAAAGAAAAGAACAGGTGCAAATACATTCTGTGTCTTTAGTTTGCAGAGCCAATTCCAAAGAGGCTAAGATGGCTCTTTGTCTATCAGTTTAAAGGTTAATTCAGTTTAAGCAGTTAAATCTTAATCCAGTTCTGGCAGTGTTGGGGCAATATTCGCAGCATCACAGCTTTGGAATGACGGGAAAGCCATTCCCCAAGCCCCGCAGGATGCCAGCTCTGCCCCCATGCGTCTTCAACTGCAGAGCGTGCCTAACGTTTTCCTTTGGAGCCCCTTGGAGATGTCCTTTTTTCTTCAGCGATTCAGTTGCGCCCTCTGCTGCTGAAGGGGTGACCACCCACCTCCCAGTTAATCAGACTGTGTACTGACCCTCTTTTCTTTTGGAGTGATAATTGCTTCTTTATTCTCTTCAGAGACCAGGACGCAAGTGCTGTAGGAGGACTGTAGCATGTTGATAACCAGAGAATTGGACAACACATCCAGTTTTTTCTGCTCATCCCCAGTCACGTTCATGCTTCCTGCTATTCCAAACCTATGGAGGAAAAAAGTCCGTGGGGTTATTAATAGCATGAAAAAAGAGCTAAGCCAGAGAAAAGCAAATGGATGTTCTTCACATTTTTGGACTGTGGCTCTCACAGTCTTCTGCCATTGGCCATATTGCCTGGAGCTGGAGGAGGCAGTGAAGACCTGGATGTGCTCCCAGGCATGGGAATTGAGGGGTTAATTGGAGCCCATGGGGAATTTTCAGTTTGTTAGATCTTTTTACCCCAGTGGTCATGATAGGTTTTATATGTTGGATTTTTTTTTGTTGTTTTGTTTTCTTTTGGTAGTTGGATGATGTTTTAGCTGCCCAGAGTCATTTATGGTATAGACATAAATCTACATAAATAATCAACTGAAGTCCCAAATGCCAGGGGAACACAGGTGACTAATCCCTAAATTAACAATGCAATCTATGTGGTAGGAATGTGCTTTAAAGTGCTGTAAAGTGCTTCCTTATTACTTGAGTCTGCCTTTCCAGCCGTCTCTTCTGTATCTTTTAGCATAATCTTATTGAAATCTTCCATGTTAATTCTCCAGAACTGTTTCTGTAAAAGGCTAGTCATTGTAGTACTGTAATAAGGGTCTATTTCCATGATCGTCTCTGTTGGAACTCAGCTATTCAAGATACTAAATGGAGGATCTACTTCCTCTTACTTCTTCCTTTTTAATTAATTGAAATGGAGTAATGTTATTTGATAAATTTATATTGCCTATAGTGGGAATGGCTTTGAGCACAAATCTACAGTATTTGTGGAAAATATATGTACAAATAAACTGATACTGTCCATTATGACTAATTATAATATTCAACATTGTTCTTTACTTGACAACCTTCTGACAATATCTACTGTACACTGGTCACTTGGACTCTTACATATCATTTGTAGTCACACAATGTTCTTATATGAGATTTATAAATCATGAAATTATGACACCATATGAAATGAATAGATCAATCAAATCAATTATTATAGATCAAATGTGTTCAACACAACCCTATGGAAAGCAAAAATAGAGGTTAAATTGTAAGTGATTTGCAGCCAAGCCCTATTGATTCAGAAATAAGCCCTGTTAATTTAATTTCAGGGTAAAATGTTCAAGAAAACTTGAAAGTTGTTAGACTTGCATTGATGAAATGTACTAGATGTCAGATCACGTTAATGGAAGTACTATTTGTAGATGCCTGGTCGTGCTTAAAACCGTAAAAATATTTTGGGAAGGCAGAATATAAGAACAACAAATCTCTATTTACAAACTTTTAAAAGGACCAGAAGAGGAATGGCAGCAAAATATGATCATTTGTATATTAATTCCTCATTCTGGCAACTATTTCCTTTCACTAAATAGCAGATCATACTTTCTTTGCAAGTCTGCTGTTTTTAATAGTGCTTTAGAATTGTTACATTATATTATTCATGTCTATAGCAATACCCTGATAAATCAGTGGATTCATGGTGGCTTACAGTAATCTCTAAATATCATAAAAGCTGAATTGAAATAGAAATAATATCATAAAACAATACAACTGAAATTAACAAAAAACTAAAATACCAGCAAAGTCATTTGGCCTCATGTATGGCTAAAACTAGGATAGTTTCTGTTGCTTTCCTAAAGGCTAGAAGCGTCTGGACCATTGGTGGTAAGCCATTCCAAATATCAGAGGAGGGACAGAAAAAGTTTCTTTCTTCATGCCTATCCTCTAACTTCCTGAGCATTGGAATTCACAACATCCTTTCCTGAGCTGAATGCACAGGAGAGACAGCTTCTACTTGGAGAAGACCATCCTGAAAATATCCAGGTCTCAATTCATGTAGGTCATATCCAGCACTTGGAATTCAACCTCAGAACATATAGGCAGCCAGTGCAGGATATAAATGTAATGTTTATACTTTATACCTTTAAGATGTTGGGATTAACAGATGAAGGGCAGCATGCACATTTGAAAATTCTGTAAGACGAGCTCTCAGACTTAGGGCAGAGTCCCAGATCTGTAGGCTTTTTGCACATGGGTTGTGCAATGCCACTTCCTCCTTCCTCTCCATATACCCGTGTTAGGCATCAATATTGTATCAGAGTCATTACAGAATGAAAACAGAAGCAATTACCTTATTGTGGAAGAATGAGTTTGCTTCCAGAGGCATAAAAATAGCAAAGACAGTCACTGTGGGCCTGTGTTCTCTCCTGCCTGTTGCAAGGAATGTAGCTGCTGGATCTTTTGCCAACCTGAGGATGGGTGGGGAAGGAACCCTGACAGAAGATGCTAGGACCCTGGTGGCAAGGTCCAAGAGCTCTCCTGGAGGGTTGGACAGGAAAGGAGACAACAGAGCCGGGGCACCCACACTTGGGCAGCATGGATGAAAATGGCTGTGGTGGGTCGTTCTTCTTGAATTTTGGCTGTTCTGGAAGATGCAGGAGGGGTAAGGAGCCAGATGCAGGGAGGAGCTGCTGCCACTGTTACATTCCCTCTTTTTCCATTATGACTCCCAACTCAAAGTCAGACTTTGTCTCAGTCAACAGTAGCAGCAGTACAACCACCAGTCTCCTTGTCTTCTTTTCCTCGCTGAGGGGATGCTTTGCAGTGACTTAGATGGGGGGAGGAGATTCCTGTGGAACTGGGGCAAGAAGTGGCAATTGGATGAGGCCTTTCTCTAACCTTTCTCCATGCCCTTAGTCACTGCACCTCTCTCGCCATCCGAGAGGTTAGCCATGGGCCCAAAGAGGTCTACTTATGTCCCTTTCTCATTCCTTCTAGTTTTTTATCTTAATGCAAGAACCATCTCAAGCCAGTAACAGAATTCTGTGCCTGTTTCTTTGTTGTATGTGAGGTTGCAGGGCCTCTTCTACTGGGAATCAGGTGAAATATCAGATTATAGAGGAAGGCCAGGAAATAAATAATGAAAGAATGAAGAGTTATGAAAACCATTTCTACTAGTGCAATGGCATGCCTGCTGACTTAGAATAATTCTTCTTTTAAACTGTGCTTCTGTGATTCAGGCATAGACAAACTTAAATGAGAGTCAGTAACAGTGTTTCTAAGTAAACCTGCAGTTTAGGCAGAGAAATTCAGACATTAGTCCACAGCATTTTGACACTGGAATATTCTAATGGGTCCTGCTTTCTGCCAGCAATAGACAAGTGAGGGGAATTGATGGAAGAGTTTCTTTGCCACTTTTTGTGGGCTCATTCTCAGATCCCTCTAAGTCACAGCACAAAGATACTCACTACCCTTATTTAGAAGACATGTACAATGACGTAGTTGTCTATTCATGCTCAGTTCTTTTCTTGCAAACGTTTCATTATCCGGCTAGGTAACATCTTCAGTGCTAAAATGGGATGGGGTTTGCTCTCTGTTTATGTGCTGTGGCCTGCCTTGCCAGTGCTGGTGGCGGTGGGGGCTTTGTTTTCCTCCTCTGGTAGTTCTTTGATTGGCATATGTTTGCTTATCTGGGTGATGATTGCTGGTGATTCATTGCTGGTGAGGCGATCTTCTGGTCTTTTGTCTCTTTTGAATAGTATGTAGATAAGCAAAGGTTACCACCAGGTACACAATCAAGCAGCAAACATGCCAATCAAAGAACTACCAGAGGAGCAAAATAAAACCCCCACCGCCACCAGCACTGGCAAGGCAGGCCACAGCACATAATAAATAGAGAGGAAACCCCACCCCATTTTAGCACTGAAGATGTTACCTAGCCAGGTAATGAAATGTTTGCAAGAAAAGAACCAAGCTCAGAGAACCCCAAGGACTCCACAGTTCAACCCCGAGCTAGAAACCCCACCCCATTTTAGCACTGAAGATGTTACCTAGCCAGGTAATGAAATGTTTGCAAGAAAAGAACCAAGCTCAGAGAACCCCAAGGACTCCACAGTTCAACCCCGAGCTACACATATTCACCTCTATTGGTATTCATGCTCAGCCTACCATGATGGTAGCTTATATACCTCTTTAGCTGTTCTTTTTTTCCCCCTCTTCTCCCAACACAATCTTGTTCTACAAACACTGTGATGCCTCACTGATGATGTTGGGAATAATTGTGGTTAGGGCTGGGATCTGTCCACCTGCCACTGGTTCCTTGTGGCTGCTGTGCGCATGCTTGCTCCCCTCTGGTCTCTGGACACAACTTTCTCTTGGCTAAGGGGATGCAGAAACAATGGAGCAGTTGGCTTCCACAGAGGCATCTCACCATGTACAATAACGCCTGAATCGCACTTCAGCACTGCAGGTATTCATGCATTCTCCTTATATACATGAGTCCAGTGTACTTCTGGAATGCTCTATTAAACCTGTTTAAAAACATTATTTTAGTAGTCTTTTGAAACAGGCACAGCTAAGGGGGTGGGGTTGAGATGGAAGCACCTCTAATGTTCCTCACAGCCTCTCTAATTGGGTTGCTTCTGAATATGAGTCTACCAGTCTTCTAGAAGGCCAGTAAACCTGTCCAAAAATAACCTGGGGGCAGGTGGGCAAAGATGAAGTGGTGATAGGTACTCCAAATGTGTGGTGCTTCTCCATGCCCTTCCTTGACCCCATCAACCTGTCAGCCAGGCTATTTTGGACACAGGTCTACTGGTCTTCTGTAGGGCTGGTAAACCTATATAAAAATAGCTTGGGTGACAAATAAGTGGGGCAAAAGGTGGACCCAGGATGAAGTGGGAGAGAACTTTGATGATCTACATGAGCTCCTTTCTATTTCAGCCCAAGATTTTCCTCTGCCCCATCATCCTGCCAGCTGGGTTTGGGTTTTTTTCCACAGGTTTATCAATCTTCTGGAAGTCTGGCAGACCTGAATTCAGAAACAGCCTGAGTGGACAGTATGGAGACTCTCTGCACTGACAACCTGTCACCTGGGCAACTTGAAATGTGACCAAAGCCTGGAGGCACCATTTACACTTGTCCAGTCTTACTCCATCATAGATTAAAGAGGGGAAATGAAGCCAGGGCACTCCAGCAATTGCTGCCCTTAAACTGTCACAAGAAATTGTAGTGACAGAATCACCTACAAGCCTCAGTAATAAGGCAGATTAAAGCTTGACTGTCATAGCAGCAGAATTCATGGATTTATTTAACCAATGTTTATACTGCCCCAATCACAGAACTCTGAATGGTTCACATGAATCTCAAAATGCAATTTCAGTAGAATAATAAGCATAATAAAATAATACATCATAACAACTGGCGTCATACATTCCTACTGACTCAATGCACATTAATGAGGTTATGAGGAGGAGCTTTGCATGTGTGTGTGTGTGTGCGTGTGTGCGCACTTAATTCCATCCCTTTGCAAGCAAGGAAAGGCATTAACTGCAATCCTTTCCAAACAGGAAATGACAAAGGGCTGGAAGGGCCTAAGAACTTCAGAACCAAATATGGCCCTTCCCCTTGACTGATCCCACTCCTTTCCTTTTCTATTTTCTGGACAGCATTTCTGACTTTTATAAGAGACAGTCTCAAAGGCTGGCAGGGAAACAAAGGGGTTTCTGCTACCTGATTTCCTCCTCCAAGGTTAGAGCCCTCTTTGTAACCTTGAAAAAAGAAATTCAAGAAAGTCAATAGCCCTGAGATATTATGCCAGGAAGCACAAGATTGCACCTTGGTAATTTATTTTCCGATTAACTCATTCATGTTTATATTAAGTTATAAAAATATGCCATCAGGTTTCTGGAAGGCAGCCAAGGCATGGCCATGACATCAAACCTGTTAATGAAGACAGTACAGCTTGTCACTTGGCACAATTCTGAATCCTTCTTCTGAATCATCTCCTATTACATTAGAAACAATTAGCTGGCCTGATCTTTACACTTACATGTGTATGGACCATTTTGTTTGAACTTCTCAGCCACAGAAATAGCATAGAAGCAAATCAGATTATTCCTATGTTAATATGACTGTTTTGGTTGCTGAATTATATTACCAATATTAAAATACATGCATATTACATGCTAGTAAACTATTTGTCTACAGCTCAGATCATAATAGCTCATAACTGCTTACATGTTATTAAGCTTTACTACATTCTGGAAGCTTTCTTTCTCTCTTTGAAATTATTATGTTAACGGGAGCAGAGGAAACAATTTTTGATTGTGCCTTCTTTCTGATCAAATTGTTTATATCAAACCAAGATCAATAGTGATTTGAGAGAAGTTTTATAATTCTCCATTTTTGTTGTTGTTCAGTCGTTAAGTCATATCCTATTATAGCTGTCTTTCTTTCATTCCAGCCACATGGAATTCTGTCTCAATAATTTTGCTCAATGTATTATAAGAAGTACATCTCCTTCCCCAGATCTCATCCAAGACATTCTAATATAGATCTGCTTCTCCCCTTTTCTATGCTACTCACATATGAGCAAGACCTGCCTTTCGGACTGCCGATGAGATGGCCTTGATGGCAGTGAGCATCGAGTTCAAAAGCTGGGTCAGTTCTCCTGTTGCCCCTTTCATCCGTCGTCCTTTCTCCATGACAAATCGGTTCAGGGTTAGCATGTCTGTTTCAAAGGGGCTTTGATCCGACATGCTGGCTGGAAAGCAGGACCCGTTTTCTGAGCTAGAATCTAGGAGTTCTTCTCTTCCCCTCCTTATCCCTGCTGTTTGCCGGTAGTTTTATTTTAAGGGGAAGCAGCTGGCTTGCACATCAAGCATGGGTTAGTAAAAGGTTCCCGGTCCCACGTGACTTGAATGCTTGGAATAGACCAGCTGCACAATTCCTCTACATCTTCAAAGGAGCAAGAGTGCAACTTCAACCCAGCTGAACAAATTACCCTTTTGCAGTAACTGCACAATTAACTATAGGTAACTAATTGTGGCTTAGCCACTGCTAAAAATGGTCTGAAGAGGGGATTATTGAGTGGCTCTAAAGCCCATCATGTTTGGTGGGCAAAATAATCTAATAGAAGTCAGCTATGTGAACAAGGTGGTCCATGCAGCAAACCCTCAAAGCATTTATTGCCAGACTTGGCAACTGCATCTACCTGTGACAGAATGTGAGTTTGACTCAGAGTAGGGTGAGGGCCATGCTGAGCCATTAAAGAAAAGGTATCTGAGTCCTGGGAAAGTAGAAAGTATAAGAAAGAAACTCAAAACAAGTCCATCTTGATTGGGTTAGCTATAAGTTGAAGTAGGGAGCGGCTTTGATGGGCTTTCAAGATTTTGTTACGATGCCCTAACCGTCTTAAAGGACATTCCAGGACTTCCAGTGACTCCTGTTTTGTGCCCTTGCATATCTTGAAGGGCTGACTGTCCCTGACCTATATTATCTGCTTTACTATTATAGGTTGGCAACTTTTTTGGCCTGAGTGCCACCCTTTTAAATATAGAAGAAAGAGATACTGTAATGCCAGTCATCTTGCCCAATCCCGGGCAGAAGCTTGACTTTGGCCAGGCTGACATTTTGAGCAGCTGCACTTTGTTCATCAAATGGCAAATGGAGAGCATTCCCAGAGTCTGGTTCAAGCAGCTTTACCTTTAGCTCAGAGAAAAACTGTGATGGGTCCCGCCAAAAAAACATCTAAAGAGTTTGTTGCTTTATCAAGCCACTGTTACAGTGGAAAACATCTATTCCTCCAGATGTTGTAGAACTCCCACTATAGTCACCTTTAGTCAACTTGGCTAATGCTGAAGGATGATGAGGATGGGAGTTGTAGTCCCCCATCTAGCCAGATACTCAAAGCCCATCTCAGCATTGTATTTAAAATAGTATTGTAATTATGAGGGGGATTCCAATTTCTGTGTTGATTCCAATTTGGAGGCATTTAAAATGCCTAACTTCTGCTCTAACACAGGAATTTCTGCCTTCCAGACCAACCCCTTTTTTTGTTTACCAACCTGCCTAGAACAGGGCTGGCCTTGCTTTCTCAGACAAGAAATGTTGGATTCCACAAAAGTGCAGCAAATTGTAATTTGATTTCTTGTTATTGTATTCTTAATGCTAATTTTCTGATTCTTCCGCCTTGATTCTAAAATCACTTGATTAACTTTGAGAAGTAAGCACCTCAACTGCGGGTGGGGGGACCATCTGCTGCTCCATCCCAAATCAAAACATCATAGGCCAGCTTTGGTCAGGAGATCTTGAAATCTTCCATACTGTATTATGAATCTGAAAACAAGATTGTTCAGTAGCTAGCAAAGTTAAACAGCAGACAGAGCACTACTTAAGATGTTTGACTTTTGCAGTGGCAGCTGTCGTATTTTCCTACTGTAGGAGTTTGCACTCTACTTTTTTCTTTTATAGACAAGGGTGTCTGTAGGGGATTGTCAAGAAATTCAAGATGGCAGCCATGGCCACCAAAACCAAAACCTCCTTTGTTACATGCACTGCACATGCATCTATTGTAAAAAAAAAAAAAGTGGTAGGCTTCAATCACACAGTCACAACCACCATCTTGACTTTTTTGATCCCATCTCTGTGGGCCCCCTAGATATGGATATGACTCCCACTTACTCTTCTTCATGATTATGACTGAGGTTTACAGATTAAGGTGGAACCAAGCTTTCTATCTTCAAGCAGTTTATTACACAACAATCTTCTTGAACTTTTGGCACTGTTCCAGGACTAATACAGCTTATCTTGCCCCACCAAGAAGGATGGAGATGCATTAATGCAGTTTACAATGAAAATCTAGGGGTTTATCACATTTTAAGATAGATAGATAGATGAGAGATACAGATCAAATTGCTCTGCCTAAAAAAAATCACTGGCTAGAGACCTGAAGAGCAAGCAGAGGGCTACAAGATTAGGGCTGCAAATATCCAGATCGCTACTAGAGAGCAGCAGAGAGATACTTGGTACTTCAATCTAGTAATCATCTGAATTTTTGCAGCCTAGATCTGGTTGCTCTAGATGAAACCATCCATCCTTTTTGTACCATTTCCCCAGGGCTCTCTTTCACATTGATAAAAACCCTGATGGCATTATACTGCAGTAAGAAACATTCAAGCGGGACCAGATTTAACCATGCTTACAATAAAAACATAATGGCACCTTTGAGTCCATCTGAACCCCTGATGACTACAAGGTAGCAATTTGTTATTTTCTTCTGGGATGTTTTTTCAACTTCTCTGCTTAGTCTAGTGCCCATGGATTTCTTGGGGCTTCCCATCCAGTACTAACCAGGACCAACCATACTTTACTTCTCAGCTCAGCTGCTATCTGTTGAGGTATGTTCACTCTAGGTCCATAAAATAAATGGCACTGAAATTAGTTGTAATTAATTAAAAGTCACTGTGATTTCAGTGGATTGACTCTGAATCCATTCTAGAATATACAGCTCTGGTTTTGCCCATGCAAAAGAAAACATTGGATAGTTGCTTCAGTGAATCCATATTTGCATTCATTAAGTACTGTCAAATGAAGAATCTTGTGGATTTTAATTGTAGCTATAAGTCAGTAAGGAAGATTGTCGAATGTAAAGGCAGACTATCCTTGGGAAATTCATGTTTTGAACATCTACTCCTAACATACTTATGCTTTGTATCATGCTTGCCATGAGCATTTCCTTCATCAAGAACAAATGCAGGATTGGAGGTTGGAGAGATTACATATACCATACATTTTTATGCTTGGTGACACACGGAGGTTCCCTCACCAGAGAGAGAATTCTTCACAGTCCCATAAACAGAGGGACATCCACACTATCTACATACATTAACAATTGTGACTATTGAATTATTTCCTCTGCAGAAATGAACAGGGATGTTTGAGGATGTTGGGAACCCAGGAGTTTTAGTGTTTAAGGAGGATCTTCCTCTCTAAGTCTAAAAGAAGTACATGGAGAGCAGGGTATGGACTAAGTAGCAGGCCTTCTCTATAGTAGACCCCACAATTTGCTACCCTATCTCACTGGAGGTATGTATTAGCTCCTACTCTTCCAAAAACAAAGCTGTTTTATTTCAGTAGGCTTTCAGTCCCAGTGCATGATTGAATGGTGGCACCTGTTCTAAGGAATTTACTTGGATTTTTATATTTTTCTTTAATGGTTGGGTTTATATACTTGCAACTCCCCCCCCTTTTTTTTTAAGAATTGGGGCAGGTTGTAAAAATGGTTAAATAAATCTTTGTAGAGAAGGTGATATAGCACAACCTAAGCCTCTGCAGTCCCTTTGCATGTGTTGTTACTCTTTTATAAAAACAAATTTGCAGAAGCCCACGGCCTTCCCATTGCAGGCAGTCCATTGTGTTGACCATCACTCAGAATGGCACTTCAGTCCCATATCAAGAAGTCTGCCCAGGAGGCTAAGCTAGAGTAGATTCATATATCATGCTTAGCCATAAGAGCAGGCTAGGCCAGATGCACCCATTGGCCCCTTCTCCAGCGTGGCGGCGTTTACCATCCATTAGGATTTCTTAAGGGAAGGATGTCATCCAAACACAAGTATCAGGGATTTCCCCATCGGCAGGTAATCAGAATGTAGCCATGGTTTGCTTAAAATTTGCTCATGCTTAAATCCTCTGGTTCACGCCAATAAAAATGTTGCTACATTAATGGGTAGGAGGAAGAGGAAGAGACTGTGATGAAGTATATTTGTACTAACCAGTTCTTATGGTTAAGCTTGAAATATGAGTCCAACCAATGACTGGATTCACTTATCTATTTTGTTAACAGATATAATTGAATAAATCACAATTGGCATATACCATGATTTACAAACTTCAATGATTAGTATCTTTACATAAGACACTAATCCAAAATCAAACCTAGTCTCAGATTTGCTGAAGACTGCCCTTCACAGCCTAATATAGATTTGATACCTCTATGTTGGAAGTAGCCCTTATGTGTGCAATCGTCTAGATTAGAGTCAGGCTGATGGTGTTAAAGAAGAAAGTAATTCTCTGAGCATCCTAATGAATGATTTAGAATGACAGTAGTATGAAATATGAGTGTGTTATTTCCATTACCCAATGTCCTAAAACAGTCTCTATAAGATGATACTTTCTTCCAACCGCATTTAAATGCTAGTAGTTTAAGTTACCAAACCATCTGTAACTTAACCCCTTGTCCTTTCACCAAATGCCAAAGGTCTTTAGTTGCTTGCTAGAACTCTTACCACATGGTAAACATTGCTCTTGACAATAACTAGGAGATTCATTCTTTTGAATTTGACTTGGAGACAACCATCTTCTGAAATGAAGATAGTTTCTTAAAATTCATTATCTGTTCTCATTTTTGGAAGGAAGGGAGTATAAACAGAGGAAACCACTACACAATTTTCATGTGGCTTGGAGGGTTAAATAGATCTTTCTGGTTCCATTAATGGTCTACAGATTTTGTCTTACATTCTGCCCTATGTTCCATTCTGGATGCCTCCTGATTTAAGATTATTTTTTAAATTAATTTTATATTTGGTAGGCATGCAATTTTACTCAGTTGCCCATATGTATATGCATGTGAATGTATGAATTCACAAGGATTAAACTGAGGGTATGTGAAATTAAGGTGTTTTCAGCTGTGATCAATCAAAAATGTACAATGAATGGCCTGAACAAGCCTGGATTTTGAAAATAAAATAATGACAAATTC